TCTCTATCAAAGGTTTAATCATGCAGATACTTTCACGACCAATTTTTTTTCTCACTTCTTCACCAGAATGTGAGTTATTTAAGGTCACAGAATCTTTGTAAATGATCTAAGTATTCCCCACACACCTATCTTGCCAAAGGATTTATTTAGGATTCAAGAGATACTGAATGAATTAACTTTTAACTATGAGTCATGTTTCTAGGGAGGAATGCAGACATATCAAAGGCATAATAAATTCCGAAGCTTTTTCCCCTTTTACTGCAACCAAGTTGATTCAGGCTACCTCTGTTCGTTCACATCTCAAAGATTTCCCAAGCACCATAGAAGAGATAAATGGCTAATCTTGGCGGTGATTACTCATGGTATTAATCTATGTCACATCCAAGGAATTTAGTACTACTCAGAATGCATCTAGTGTCTAGTGATTCAAAGGTTGTCATTCTGTCTTTTATCTTGGAAGTGTTCTGATTCTTTGCTCATGGTCTTACCATGCCCTGATGCTGGTTTGTTTAAAAGATTTGGTCTCTCCCATCTTTTGGAGGAAAATCTGTAACAGCACTATGTGATGGATTGCTTTTTGGAATATTGTCTGGGAATATTGTCTTTAAAAGCCACTGTTTACATTACTTGGAAAGTAATGTACCCAGCACTTCCTTAAATCATCTATGTTTACAGTCATTTTCAAAAAAAGTGGGTCAAGATGAACTCTATCCTTACGACTATGCCGTCGCTTTTGAATCAGGATGACAAATCCATTTGAGGGGATATATTCATGTTGGGATCCAGGACTATGAGCAAACAAAAAAATCGAAGTCTGGGTTTATTTTTATTTTTCTGCATCTGATGGTATAGCTTTCATTGGAATACTTATATTTCTAACGATTTCTTTGAGTCGTATAACAGTTATGGACAGATCTAGTCTTCATCTTGAACTTGTGGAATTCTTAGCAAAGAGAAAAGATAACAATTCATGACATTTGATCTACAGGAAACCTATTATTTAGGAAAGATGAGAGAAAGATAAATGGAGGAAAATATTTTTCTGGACCAAATGCAGCATTTTTGAACTTTTAATCTGGCTGTTGGTCCAAGTCAGTGTTTCCCAAACTTTGCTGCACATTAGAAGTCTCTGGGGCATTTTAATAATAATAACAACAATGTTAATAAATGATAAATAAAGGCAAAGGTCTTATCTCGAGTACTCAAATTCACATTTGGGGTTTGTGTCTGATGGTTTTGATTTGTAAAGCCCTTAAGTAATTCTAATATGCAGCCCCAATGAAAACCACTGGTCTGTGTAGAAACACCCCGTGATATTCTGATATTGCCCTTTAATATTTTCTTAACAATTTTTTTCATAGTTTTCTTAGTTGCTCACAGTGTTTGCAACATTCTTCTGGCATCTCTCAAATATCCTTCATGTTAAAATAAGAAAAAATATGCTTTTTATAAAGAAGAGACTTCATTGTTGATGTATAATTTCTCTCACAATGTGTTTTCATGACATGGAATGAGCGTGACTCAGATACGCAGGGATGGGAATGATTTCTTTGGCTTTGGCTTCTCTGGTCTTATCAGGACTTTGTACCAGGGCACTCATTTGTGGTAGAACTTATCATCAATCTGTTAATAAATCCATATTGTTCTATACTAGAAAATTCTGAATGATTTGCTTTCAGTCAGTTAGAAACAAAATTTATGCCTCATTGAGATGAGTTCCTCCTAACCAGATGCTCTTCAAAGTAAATCACCTCTTGTGTGACCTAATCACTTTTTCCTTCTCTGTCACCATTGGCTGCAGGTCTACAGGAAGGCTGCATGACACTTCTGCTCTGTAAAAATAAATGAGATAATAAATGACAAGGGCTCCTGAAGACACCTTTTCAATTTCAGGGTCAATGAACTATTATTTAAATAAACACTTTAGCAGACCACCAAAAGTCATTTAGATACAACAGCAAGGAGAATAGTCTTAATTTCTTCTGTAATTTTATTTGTTGAGCTAATTATAGCCAAATACAATTGTTATGAGGGGACATGGCCTCCTAGCATGTTCACATACATACAGTATTCCATTAAAAATATTCTACTGAGGTCTAAGGCCTGATGCTGGCTGCCATAGGGACTATACACTTTTATCAGACATAATCACTAAAGAAATTTAATCTATCATCAGAGAGCTAAGATAGGTACACAAAGATGTAAAATACAAGGTGACAAGTGACAAGGGCTATGAGATTGGTACACAAGAAATCCTAGTATTTAGAGTGAGTCTTTTCACCAGCGAAAGATGTGAAGAAGATCGTTTTTGAATGAGAGCCTAGGCAAAATCATGAAGATGAGAAAATTTTGAATGCTATGTTTTAAGAAATTAGGGCAGCTCTGGATAAATCCTTCATTCTGGCTTCCAAATTTCTAAATCAAGTACATTTTTCATCCTAAATCAAGGCTGAATGTATTAATTTGTCCCTGTTTCTTCCGCCTTCTGGTCTAAGCTATCCCCATTTTTCCACTGAACAACTGAAAAATCTCCTTGACTCTTCTCCTAATATCCATTCTTGGTCATTGCAATGACTGTAATCAGATTAAAAATATAGACTTTTAAAATAATTGTAGGTTTACACACAGTTGTAAGAAATACCGCAAAGAGATCCTTTGTACTCTTTAGCCAGCTTCATCCAATAGTAATATCTTGCAAAAGTATAACACAATTTCAGAAGCAAGATATTGACATTGATACAATCTACCAATCCGTTTTAGATTTTTCCAATTTGACTTCTGCTCCTGTGTGTGTGTGCACACGTGTTTGTGTGTATGTGTGTATAATTGTGTGTATTTATTTCTATGCGGTTTTGTCACATGTGTACGCTTCCGTATCTACCACCACAGTCAAATTACAGACCAGCCCCATCAACACAATGATCTCTCTTTTTGTCTTTTTATAACTACCCACCTCTTTCCCATTACCCACTTCTCCCCATCCCTAAACCCTAGCAACCACTAATCTGTCTTACTTTTCTGTAATTTTTTCATTTCAAGAAAATTATGTAAATGGAATAATTTTGGAATTGACTTTTATTATTCAGCATAATTTTCTTGAGATTCATTCAAGTAGTTGTGTGTCTCAATAGCTCACATTTTTTAAATTACTGACTAGTATCCCATCGTATTTCACGACATGGATGCATCAGTTTGTTTAACCAGTAACCCATCGAGGACCACTTGGGTTGTTTTCTGTTTTGAGGTTTTACGGATAAATTTGCTATCAATGTTTACATACAGGTTTTTGTGTGACTAAACTTTCCTATCTCTGGGATTAAATTCTCAAATGTGCATTGTGTAATATAGTAATTGCACAAATAAACTCTTATAAATGCAATCTGATTGGGTCACTCTCCTGTTTAAATCTTTTCAATGAACTCCCATTACTCTTAACGTCAAGCCAGCCGGCCTAGGAAGCCTTGAAATACCTGGAGTCTGCTCTTCTTATCCAATGCCTTGCCCTCCCTCTTCCTCTGCTTCTCTCCTTCAGACATGTGGGCTTTCCTTCCATTTCTTAACTGTATCATGCTTTTATCCTACCATAGAGCTTTGGAACATACAGTTCACTTTTAGAATTTTTCACTTTTCGCTCCTCTATGCTTTTTCATTAAATTCACTCTCTTCTTTCATATTTCAGCTCAAATCTTATCCTTATGGGGGATATCTTCAATGCTACCAGACAGCTCCATCAATTACATGTCCTGATAACACTATTCTTTCCTTCTGTAGCAACAGTTTGCATGATGTGCTTATTCATTTGAATATTTGCTTCATGGCCATTTCATTTAATTGAATCACTACTCTGTGTATCTCACTGTCATTAGTGAAAACTCCTTGGTAGAATCTAGACTTGCAACAGACCAACAGAATATGACAAAGGTGATGAGATGCCACTTCGGTGATTCCATTCCTGTGACTCCATGATTGTGTTACATTATTCTCACTTAGCAACCAAGAGAGGTAAAAAGGGAGTCTCTCTCTCTCGCTCTCTCTCTCACACACACACACACACACACACACAGAGAGAGAGAGAGAGAGAGAGAGAGAGAGAGAGAGAGAGAGGATTTGTCTTGTTGGCTTTTATGAATTAATCAACCATGTTGAGAAAGTCCATCTGACAAGGTACTGCAGGTGGCTTCTAGAACCTGTGAGCAGACTCTAGCTGATGGCCAGGAAAAAAAATGTTGGGTCTTCAGTCATACATCCTTAAGGAAATGAATTCTGGTACAAATGAGAGAGCTTTGAAGCAGATTCTGACTCAGTTGAGTTTCCAGATGAAAATGGAGTCTAGGTGAAACTTTTATCTCAGCCTTGTGAGATTCTGAACAGAGGACCCAGTTAAGTCATGCCTAGACTCCTGATTCCCAAAAATTGTGAGACAGAAGCTAATACACTAGCTTTCATTACAACATTGTGGTCAGGAGTTCTGGTCAATGTCATGGGGACTGAACTGTTACATATAGCACCTCTGGGCTGGCTCATAAAAACTTTCTGCAAGATCCTCCCCAATTTTTTCTGCAGTTGATTATCCCAGCTTTGAGCAGAGATCCAAGTACTGTAGACTGTAGGGAATCTGGGATCTTAATTGTTGCATTGGAGGTTGCTCACTAAATGTGTACAATAAACAGTTGTTTATTTATTGTAATGTATCACTATGAATTTGGCGACTTTTGTTAGATTAGCTGATATTATGTAGTTTAGCCAAAAACTTATATTCTTGAGATATATAAATAATATCTGACAGTAGGATCAGGGCTTGATAACTTAACAATGGAAGCTGGAAAAATATCAGATGGTAGGATGGCAAAACAACCAGAGTATCTTTAAAAATCTCCCTTATATGTAAAGGAATGAGATTTAGATGTTCTTATTCTATTACTAAGTCACTTAGTAATAATTTATACAAAAATTGCTGTTTCTCACACCGTCAAAACATTTTTCCTTGAAAATAACTTCAGGCCATGAGGATAAATTTGCCGGACCTTCAGAGTGCCCTTCTTGGGAATGCTTCTCTTCTTTGCTTGTTCTACCATATTTTTACAAATAACAAGAAGTATCAGGTGAGCTAACCAATAGACCATTGCATTTCACGTTCACTCTCAAATCACTAAGTAGAACAAGTGGTTCCTTCTGTAGCCTCATCAGTGCTTGCCATAACATAATCTCCCATCCTTATATATAGCAAAAACAGTCTCTTTCAGCTGTTTGATTTTTAATTGCATTGAGTTCTTCAGCTAATTTAGCAATCACTGCATGAATAGAATATTTCCATGCAACCCAAAACAACGTCATAAAGAAACTGCAAAAGACAAAGTAAACCTACAATGACAAGGGAAGTGATGATTTTTTTTTTAATTATAGGAGATGTACTTTACATCAAGTTAGTAGAAAACTAATGTGATGATTGGTCTACAACTGATTAGACTTTCTATGAATTCTTTTACCCTGTCATCCAGTTCATAATTCTCATGCTCTTTATCTCAAATTTAGTCATCGTAATAAAGCTCATGGCACTATGTCCGTGGGAGTACGTATTTCTCTCACCTTCATCACTATATCATCTCAAACGATAACATTTCCTAGCAAGCCAACTTTCTTACAAGTTAATATGTGTTGTTGACTTAATCTGAATTTGTGCTTATATGTTTTGATGGGTCAATTCTATTTCCTTAGTGGCAAAAAGTTTGTTGTTATTCAATTTGATTTAATATTCTATTGACATTAAGTAATTTTACTAATATGGAGACATCTGTCCAATGTTATAATGGTGGATTATTTTTACAACAAAAATGCATGGCTAATTTGTTTTTTTAAATAAAAACCAATATAATAAAGTCTAAAATAAACAAGAAGTCTAATATGAAATGATGAAGAGATTTATTAGCTTTCATTATGGTCCCAAAATGTGGTCTAATTAACAGCACTAAACTCAGTCAATGCTACAGTCATAGAGGCTAAAATAGAATAAACAAATGAACAAATGATTATGCTGTTTCTTGGCATCAATTATCATGCTATATATATATTTCACATCCATTTGGACTCTGTCCCCAAAATTAAGTTTTATGTTGAATGAAATGTAAACTCAGCCTTTAAAATTAAGACATTACCACTGACTCCACAGAAGTACACACAGACACACACACACACGCACACACACAGTGACTATTATGAACACCTCCATGCACACAAACTAGAAAATTTAGAAGAAATGGATAAATTCCTGGACATATTTAACCTCTGAAGATTGGACCAGGAAGAAATTGAATCCTGAACTCAGAAATAAGTTCTGAACTTGAATGAGTAATAAAAAGCCCATCAGCCACAAAAAGCCCAAGACTAGATGGATTCACAGCCAAATTCTACCAGAGGTATAAAGAAGAGCTGGTACCAACCTTGCTGAACTGTTCCAAAAAATTGAGGAAGAAAGACTTCTCATTAACTCATTCTATGAGGCTAGTATCATCCTGATATCAGAACCTGGCAGAGACACAGCAGAAAAAGAAAACTTCAGGCCAATATTTTTGATGAACATAGATGCAAAAATCCTCAACAAAATACAAGCAAACTGAATCCAGCAGTGCATAAAAAAGCTAATCCACCACAATCAAGTAGGCTTTATCCCCAGAATATGAGGTTGGTTCAACATATGCAAATCAATAAATGTGATTCAGTATATCAACGGAGCTAAAGACAAAAACTACAGTTACTCAATAGATGCAGAAAGGTTTTCAATAAAATTCAACATTCCTTCATATTAGAAACCCTTTACAAACCAGGCACTGAAAGAACATATTTCAAAATAATAAGAGTCATCTATGATGAACCCACAGCCAACATTACACTGAAAGGAGAAAAATTGGAAGTATTCCCCTTGAAAACTGACACTAGACAAGGTTGCCCTCTCTCATCACTTCTGTTCAACATAATATTGAAAATCTTAGGCAGAGAAATCAGACAAGAGAAATAAATAATGGACATCCAAATAAAAGAAGTCAGAGCATCCCTGTTTGCAGACAACATGCTTCTATATCTAGAAAACCCCATAGTCTCTGCCCAAAAGCTCCTTGGGCTGATAAACTACTTCATAAGTTTCAGAATACAAAATCTACATACAAAAATCAGTAGCATTTCTATACCCCAACAACATCCAAATAGAGAGCCATATCAGCAACACAATCAGATTCACAACTGCCAAAATAAATAAATAAAATACCTGGGAATGCAGCTAACCAGGGAGGTGAAAGAGCTCTACAACAAGAATTACAAAATACTGCCGAAAGAAATCAGAGATGACACAAACAAATTGAAAAACATTCCATGCTCATGGATAGGAAGAGTCAATATTGTTAAAATGGTTATTCTACCCAAAGCAAATTACAGATTCAATGCTATTCCTCTTAAACTACCAATGACATTGTATTAGTCTGTTCTCACACTGCTATGAAGAAATGCCCAAGACTAGGTAATTTTTAAAGGAAAGAGGTTTCATTGACTCACAGTTCTACATTTCTGGGGAGGCCCCAGGAAACTTACAATCATGGTGGAAGGCAAAGGAGAAACAGGCACCTTCTTCACAAGGTGGCAGGATGGAAAAATGCTGAGTGAAGGGGCAAGAGCCCCTTATAAAACCATCAGATCTCATGAGAACCTCATTCACTATCATGAGAACAGCATGAGGAAAACTGACACCATGATCCAATTACCTCCACCTGGCCCCACTCTTGACACCTGGGGATTATGGGATTATGGAAATTACAATTCAAGATGAGATTTGGGTGGGGAGACAAAGACTAATCATATTGAACATTCTTCACAGAATTAGAAAAAAATTTTTTTTTAAATTTTCATGGAACCAAAAAGAGCCTGAATAGCCAAGGCAATCCTAAGCAAAAAGAACAAAGCGGGAGGCATCATGCAATTTTACTTCAAGCTACTGTAGGGATACAGCAACCAAAACATCATGGATACTAGAAAAGGAACAATAGACACTGGGGCCCACTTGAAGCTGGAAGGTGGGAAGAGGGGGAGGGTCAGAAAAAATACCTATCAGGTACTATGCTTATTACCCAGGTGATGAAATTATCTGTATACCAAACCCCCGTGACACAAAGTTTACCTGTATAACAACTTTGAACATGTGCCCCTGAAAATAAAATGAGTTAAAATAAAAGGACTAACAACCAAAAAAGTTTGCTAGCTTTTTTTCTTCAATTTTACATCTTAGCTTTTTTATTTTTCAGCTTTCCTAGTTTACCTCCTCTTCTTTCTGATTTCTGCATTAAGAAGAGATTAGAACAAGTCATTTCAATGTTTTGTTTTGTGTTGTTTTGTTTTGTTTTGTTTTGTTTCATTCCAGGAATTAGGCAAAGGATCTCAGAATTATCTCTAAAGAGAAAAAGTTAGACAATGGTATATTTGACTTTCATTTAAGACCTGCAAACTGATGAAATAGGAAAAAAGAAGTTACATTTAAGAAACAACTGAAAGTGTGAATTCTTTGTATTGGTAACTGTGATTTTTAAAAGCAGCATTCTTTTTATGCGATTCAGGCTTTCAATGAAAACAAAACTTCTTGTGGCATTTAAATTATCTAGGGTAGGATATTCAATTACTATGTTTCAATGCATAACACCTTTGGAAAGGTAAATATGATTAACTCTAGCAAAGAACGGTGAGAAAAAGAGGAATTTAATCTATAAGTCACAGATAATTTATTATGCTTCACAGAGTACTTTTCTGTACATTAATATAAAAAAGCATAATTTAATTTACATGACTTGCTGAATTTCCAAGGCACTGATGCTGGATCATCAAAGGAACAAGAATATATGCATGTAAAGAGTTAATCTGAAGCTCAGCAGTCCTAATCATACACACTGAAATACAATTTTTTTTGCCAGCAATAGAGGTTTTCAGTTCTGAGTATCTACTTACTTTGAAACATCATTAAATTATTCCCAGTTTCATTAATTCCTTAATTCATTCATTTAACCAATTTGTATTATATACCTAACATTCACCTGATGCTGTGTCAGGTGCAGAGATACATTAAAAAGCAAAAAACAGGAACGGTTTCAAGGAAAGAGTGTGGCAGAAGACTATTAAGCGTGTTATTTCATGTTGATGAAAGTGCTCAGAAGGAAGCACTTTCATGACTCTTTGTAAGTTATGACAAAGGCGTGGTTTAGGGTAGGGGGTTCCATGTAGGTTTCTTGAGGAAGTGAAGCTTTAGGTTGGACCTGAAGGGCAAATTGAGGTTAAGAGGGAAAGTAAGAGGAGGAACCAGTCAGAAGGAGCACTCAGGCAGGGTCACAGCACATGCAAATCCCATTTAGGAGAAAATATGTCACAAATAAGACACAAAGAAAGCAATTGTATAGTTGGAATGTCAGGACCCAATGGAGAGTCCTGTGGGTTGGAGGTGGAAATGTACCCAGAAACAAGACCGAGCATTACAGACCATTTCAATGATTTCTGCCCAACAAACCTATTTTTCTTATTGCAAGTTAGTATCAACATTGTATGTGAGCACAGATAGTTAATTTTGGAAGAAAAGACAACAAATATAATGTGAAATTTGGAAAACCAGACATTAGGTATCATGTGACCTATCATAGGAAGTAAATGGAATATATTTTACCAACTAAGTTTCTAACATAATACTCCATGATGATTTTTCATCTAATAAATATTTTGGTGATTTGGAAGAGGAGATAGGATCTCTGTATCAGAAATGCTTCTGGCTGTAAAAAACAAAACTCCTAATTAACAGTGCCTTTAACCATATGGATATTTACTGTTTACCTAACAAGAAATGTAGGAAAATATTTTCAAAATAACCAAGGATAAAGTTCCTTTCTTTTCTGCCACACCTAATGTCTTGGCCTCTCATGATTATGAGATGTTTGATATACCTCCAGAAAAAAAGAAAAATAAATGAAAACCTATGTTCAAAGCAGAAAGAAAGGAGAAGAGGGAGTGCAAATTATGATTTCCTACCTATAATTTTAATCAGGAAAGCAAAACACTTTCCCAGCAAAACCAAGGCAGTCCTTCACTTATGTCTCATTGGCCAAAATACAATAATATTGCCTCTACTCCTACTTGGAAGGGAGCCGTGAACATGAGAATCTGGCATTTCTCAGACCCTCTGTTGAAAGCAGGAAAAGGAGAAAGCAGAGGCAGTGATGCCTGGTTATTCAATCAACAGTGCAAATGCCTGAAAAGACTGGGTTATGAAAACACTTGCCCTGGAAACCAAGACAGGAAAAATTTATTTTGGACATAATTATGCACCATGCTTCTGTTTCTCCAATTGGGGTTTGCAAATATTCTACAATAGTTTCTGTGTTTTCTGTTTTGATTTTTATGATCACAGAGACTTGATGTTGGATCATACAATCATGTTGGATCACATGGGTGACTGGACTAGAACATATCCCTATATTTGCTTGATGTTTAGATCACATTGACACCAATAGTACATCTTTGATGGTGATCAGCTAATGAAAAGATAGTAGAACATGATAAAGAAAGCACACCTTTCTGGCTGGGCACAGTGCCTCACGCCTATAATCCCAGCACTTTGGGAGGCCAAGGAGGGCGGATCACAAGGTCAGGAGTTCGAGACCAGACTGAATAACATGGTGAAACCCCATCTCTACTAAAAATACAACAACAACAAAAAATTTAGCTGGATGTGGTGGTGCACAACTGTAATCCCAGCTATTTAGGAGGCTGAGGCAGAAGAATCGCTTGAACCTGGGAGATAAAGGTTGCAGTGAGTTAAGAATGTGCCACTGCACTGGGTAATGCAGACTCTGTCTCAAAAAAAATAAAAATAAAAAAATAAATAAAGAAAACATACCATTCTTTCCCAGAAGTGAAGGCCAAATGATATCATGAAGCACTGTGCAAATAAAGGTTTCACGTGAGTTTGGGTAGAGAAAAGTGGTAAATGAATTGAGTTATGAGATGGCACGCAGTAGCACAGGTATGCTAAATGCTTTCAAAACCATGATGCGGCAGTCAGTGTGATATTCAAATTTCAAACAGATTAAGATTCAACATGTCAAGATGATTCATCATATTAAATTAAAAACATTAATTTTAATTTTATTGCAGTGATAGTTTGGTCTATAACTTGCAAATTTGTTTCTTACAGCTAAGTCCTGTGAACATAAGATGT